AAAATTCAAATAATGATATTATTTAAAAGATTTTTTGCGCCCACTGTTACATTTATTCTTCTTTTAAAGGCGGGTTTTCAATCGTCATTTCTGAAAGGATTTTTATACAATTTGTAATAATGTCTAAGAAAGTTAAGAAAACTATGGACGCAGAAGGGCCTGTGGAAAAGAATTGTAGAAGATTTTTTTTCTGCAAGTAACATTCTTCAAGCGATGACGATGATCCATTTGTCAACAAAAATGAAAACTTTGAAGCTCTGTGGCCATTAACCTTTATCAATGGAAAATTATCAGTTATAGCTCCAGTAAGCATTGGACATTTACAAGATCAAATACGCTCCGACTGATTATTCAGTCTCCAAAAAACATAACAACAACTAAAAAGATAAAGAATACTAAGTAGCAATTATACATCAGTCTAGCAAAATGACGAAAGAAGAATACTTCCGTGAAAGTTTGGAAGAATTTATAGAGTGTGTCTATCCTATAAAGCATTTTGTGATTTTATTGTTAGCCTGGATGCATGTGCAACTAATCCTGGCAGGTCACGGAACCGATTGCTATTCACTGTGGTAGCGATGTGTAATGAGAGGACAGAACCACCACCAGCCTCACACACAGCTGGAGCTAGCTCATCGCCACCTATGTGTTGTCATTCTGATGGTTTATTGATTGCACTCTTGCTCTAACCACATAGAGCACTCGAAAATTCCGTGGATAAGCATTTTTTGTTTCTGAGGAAGGATTGCATGTAATTACAGTATTTTATCTTTTGACTAGATTTCTATAGAAAACCTATTTTAAGAAGTATTATTGGTTTTCTTAAGAATTGATGTTGAGACTTGTAGACTTGCTATTGCTTACTGTTTAGCCTGTTTGGTCTCTAATTTTCTACATCTAATTCGTAAAATTGTTTACAACGTAGTGAACAATTCTTCAAAATTATCTCCTAGAGCACAGTCTGTAAGTTTCACAAAGCCTAATATTTCTCTAAGTGTCATCCAATCAAATCAAGTAATGTTTAGAGCGGATGGCCAACATTTCAACCTCAGATCGCCTTTACTTACTTGAACTAAATCTTCACTGAATAAAGGACCAGAGCACCTTTCATGAGTAGGTAGTGCCCAGGTTGTCTCATTGCATCTCTTGTGCATCTTGAATATTCCTCAGGTTTTACACCACTCCATTGACATCTATTCTCTTCTTTCTGTTCTATTACAGTGTTGTAATGCTGATAAAAAGTGAGAGAAGTAGATTGTATCAATGCTGGCAGCGGGAAATCATTGGGTGCGGTTACCACTAACCTCTTCTTTTTCCATTAGCATCCTAAATTTTGCTCACTAATCAAACAGCGCACTCATATTACAACTGCTCTCTTTGCTGGTTATTGTTAGTTTGATTATCCGTTTAATACCCCTAATACAGCAGGTTTACGAGGAGTTAGAACAACAAATATCAGAATCTTGGCTGAACTCTAATTTTGGTGTTTTCGTGATGAATTTTGCTTGCAAATTCAAGAATTCTCGCAAAATTTATCGTAAAGAACCAAAGTCAAAATTCAGCCAAAGTATTAATATTTATTTTTCTTACTTCAAATTTTTCATTCATTCTAATTGTGATCACCAACTGATTCAAATTGTGTAATTTAATGTGTATTTGCCACCTGCGTGAAG